TGCGTGGAAGGAAACCCACGAATTTTAAGAATTTATGTTTTTGTTTTTGTGGTTATTTTTTGCAGGAATAAATGAGAGTTTGCAAGGGAAAACATGTAAGCAACAAAGAGGTGTTGCATTACATGTCGATCCCTCTGTGAGTATCTTTGTGAGTACATCTCTTCTTCTCTTGTTCTTAAACATTGAGGACAATGTTTTGTTCAAGTTTGGGGGAGGTTTTACCGTTTTGAATTGTCAATTTAAATACCTTTTTAATTGAGTTCGATAAAAATCACGTCGAATTCGCCCCATATGAAGCCTGTAAAAAATTTTCTTGTGAATGCTATGTGTGTGAGGTAGTCAGGAAAGTATTTAGAGTTCGAGGGAAGAGGAGTTAAAACTAAGGAACTTGGAAAGTTTGGAAATTAAGGTATAATTTGGACACCCTAGGTTCCTCGAAGTAAGGAAACGAGTCCAACGTGTAGATTTGTGCCATAGTACTTGGATTTGAGAAGTATTCCCCGATTAGTTCATAATGATAGTCTGACATGATTAAAAATAATTGCATGTTTAAATATTAATTGTGAGAATGACTCGTGGCACCCAAATTTTTTTTTGAATAATGATGGTAAAGACAACTAGTCCTTCTAAGTTGGGTAACCCTCACCCAGTTACTTAGCCTAACGACAGTTGAATCTTTATAGTCGTCCAAAAAATGGACTAATAAACGCCAATGAGCGAGAGAAAAAAAAAGAATAAAGGTGCCACGAAAAAAGTCTCGATCAAAATTTTGTACATGTGAAGGAAAGCAATCAAAAGTGCCTTAATCTGATTATCCGAATGAAAGGGGTAGAAAATCGAAGAAAAGACTTAAGCCCAAAGCATAGTTGGAGAGGTGGATGAAAGGGGGATTTAGGTCTGTGGTTTTACCGCGATGTGTGTTTGTATAATACCTTCGTTAATAGACGTTTACCAAAAGAACTAGTTTTAGCCGATCAGAACAAAGACTCACATATGAGTACCGACACACCTTACATTCATAAGTCCTTCATTTGATATACTGTTTGATCTGAAAATTATTTATCCAAGCTGATTGCTTGAGGTCAAGAAATGGTTTAAGTTTGGGGGAATTTGATCAGTGGTTTTTATACGTTATTTTACTGTTAGTTTTAGTTAATTATTTGATATGTCTAGTCGTATTTTATTCATTTTTATTGCATTTTACGCGTTGGTTTGGTATTTTCATTATTTTAGGTTCGGGTAAGCAATAGAGAAGAATTGGAGCAAAACCGGGTAACAACAGCGAGAATTCAGAAGAGTTTTGAAGTGGACCAGGAGCCTAACACAGACGCTCGTGTCAGCATGCCTAGAGCAAAAAAAATTAATTTTAGATAGACAGTGAGCCAACACGGCCGCCCGTGTCAGCTGACACAGCCCGTGTTGGCTAAAGCACTCCATCTTCTAATTTTCTTGGATTTTTGACCTTTGTGATTCCTAAGGGTATTTTGGGTATTTTACTATTGTTGGGTTGGACCTGAGACTATTTAAGACGTGTTTTAAGAAGGAAAAAGGGGACTTTTGGACAAAAAAAGAATTTTACGATCAAGATTGTAGCGATCAAGGATTGGGGAAACTGAAGGTTTTCATGAGCGGAAGCAACTGAAGATCAAGGCAACCTTATTATCTTGAAATGTTCAATCTAATTGTTAAATTTATTTTAAATATTATGAGTAGCTAAACCCCCCAATGCTAGGGGGTGTCCCTGAATTGACTCAGTAATAACCTTGTTTTCTTTGAATTAATGATTTCACTGCTTTCTCATGATCGTTGTTATCGTATAATGTTCTTAAGGCTTTTCTTATCTAACAAATAAGGATTCGATTTACGGTTAACCTTAGGTTTGGAAAAACGATTGTTAACAATTTTATACGATAATACTATAATAGATATTGCCTAGGAATGGGGATACCCTATAGTAACCGTAATGTTTTAGATAAAATAAATTGCTTGGTATTGTTCCTATACTGCCAAGGAATTGGGGCATAGGGAGAATACCAAAAGGTTTTCTGCTAAGGAATTAGAGTCAACTAATCTTTAAAACCGGTAACGATTGAACTGAGCAATGATTTCTGAAATTAAGAATTAAGGTTGTTACAAGGCTTTTCATACACCCTACCCTAGCATGCTCCTCATAACTGTCCAAAACCTTTATTTTACGCTTTTTGCCTTCAGCCTTTTACTTTTATAAATTAAACAAACCAAAACCTCTATAACCTTTTGTTCAATTGTATTATTATAGGACCTGTATTCATACGCAGTCCGCGAGATCGATATTCGGGGAATTTCCCCTTATTACTACATCGGTCAAAATAGTACACTTGCTATTTTACCGGTCAGTATGGCCCATGGAAAGCATTCAACTTTCCAGCAACCGCAAAGGGGATGATCATCTGGCGTTGCCAGCCAGCTACCACCGCGTCATCAACGGACGTCGGATTGGGAAAGGGCCTAAGGGCGTTAGCTTCAGAGAGAACAAATGCAATAGGGTTGTTTTCGATAGTGTGAGTGGTGGAAATGGTTGAGGAAGTCATTGAAAGGGAAGGTCAAAGAAATTTTTGAGGGCAAGAGTTTGCAGGAAAGAAGACGCGTGAGAAAGTTGGAAAAAAGAAAACCAAATATGGAAAGAGTCTATTTATAGGCAAGTTGGCATGCAGTTGAAAAGACAAGGGGCAGTTCTAATTCCAGAGTAAGTAGGAATGGTTTAAAACCCATAACGTTGGGATGCGACCAGGCATGATTATCTTTCTTGGAAATTGTGGCGCAGAAAGGCGTCATTATCACGTTAGACTGGGGATGAGGCGTGACTGACTCGACATAAAGACAATGATGGTGTTGATGGGTCATTACCAAGACACAGTCGAAACCTCATAGAACCAAAACGCAAAGTTCCTCAGTCGACAAAGTGCTCAATCGAAACTGGGTTTTGAGGGGGTATCTTGTTGGTTGAAAGTTTCTACTAAGGAAAGGCAATACAAAGATTTGCTTATGTGTCGACAGAATGGGAAAGGTGGTAAAGGAAACGATGTGAGTCGACGCCAGCAGAGAGAGTTTTGTGAGTCGACTTAGGCCTATTCCGTCGAAGATGCCGACTGATGGACAAGGAAGCCAACACGAAGTAGAAGAACGTTTGTGCGGGAAGAAAATTTAAAAAGCTGACTACGTAGGAAGTTACAGAAGTGGTGGAAGGACATGTAGCGCCACCAAGATCAACATAGCAGTTATTTTATTTTCCTATTTAAAGCAATACCCATGTTCATTTTAAGGGGACGTGTTTTGTAACATTGTAAGGGAAAAACACTCCGAGTATCAAGCGTTAAGAGAAAAGAGTTTCATTCTTGCAAAATGTATGATCGCATCCACATTTTCTTTTAATAGCAATTTATATTACCAACTTTAAAGATTTTTTGTCTTTTGTTTTTGTCTTTTCTTGTTTATTCATTTGTCTTTATTTATGTCTACACAGTCTTTCTCAAATTTACCTTCAACCTATTCTAAACAACACATCCACCACCACTTCATATACTCGACCGGTTCGTTCTGAGACTTGTTTGGCTGATCCCGCAAATAAACCTGCGTTAGGAGATCAGATGTTGTTCGCGCGAAAAGAACAAAACAAAAAGTCCTATGCAAAACTTAGTAAGGAAGTAGTTCTAAAAAAAGATAAAAAAATAAAATATATATTATAAAAAAGAAATATAATAGAATAAATAAAATTAAAATAAACTTAAATAAAAATATGATTAATTAAAAAGAATATAACTAAAGAAAATAAATAAAAAATAAGAATGAAAACCGGTTAAAAGCGAATAATTGGACTGGTATCGAAGTACTCGAAAAATAAAATGAATACGTCAAAATGGTCAGCGCAAAATATACGTATTGGAAAAATACAGCATTTGTCAAATTTTGAAATAAATTTTACCCGGTTAAATGAATTAAATTGATCAAAATGCGACCGAAAAATGGTAGAAAAATTTAAACGATCCTGTCAGGTTAAACTATGCGAAATGCAGATTAATATGACTGAGGTTTGCAGGCTCGATTTAAAAAATTTTCGTTCACTGATTTTTCGCACGATTGACTTTTAGTTTGAAATATTCAGTTATAAAATCCAACAAGTTTATTTCAGCTGATAAATTAAGTATTATGAAAAATGCAAGAGATAATAAACTATACTGATGATGCAAAAAGACGAAGAATCTTAAAGTAAAAAATTAGGATGTACCAATATCCATGAATATTAATATTTAAATAATTTAAACAAAAAATTATAATTAACTAAATTTTTTATCCACTCTTAAAGACAAGTCTCAAATTTAATGCATAATAATAATAATAACAAAATAAATTATATTCATTTTATTCTTTCTTTTATCATATAATTATACTAATTCAATAAAATAATAATAATAATAATAATTATTATTATTATTATAATTATATTTAAAAATAAAATTATGAATAATATTAAAATAATTTTGATAATTATTAATGAATATAAATATCCACATATACCATCAAATTCATATATGTAGCAATTTACTAATAAATAATTAAATACTAATTAATCTTACGCGAGAGTATCTAATAAATCATAGTATCAGTGTCGTGATTGATTTTATCTCCAAGCTCTCGTATTTTTTCTTCTTTCATTTCTAAGCCAAAACCACTGATTTTCAATTTTATAACATAATATAAAGTATATAGGAGTAAATAAATATAAAATAAAATGTAAATAGGTTTAAGTAGAAGCAAAAGGGTGATTGACAATTTATAGTTGACTCTTCCTGCACACCTTGCTTCCTTCGTTTGTGTTCTGGATTTCTTTACTTTTCTTTCTCATTTGTCAGTTGGTCACACTTTATTTCTTTTCTCCTAAATTTGCATCAATCCAGTTTAAACCTCCCCTGTATCCTCTCGATTTCCATTTTCTCTCACCATTTTCATTCTTTGTTTCTTAGATGGAAGAAAACAATCAATCGCGTTACGTCAAGTTATCTAAAAATCAGACCACCGTCGAAGATATCATCCCCGGTGAACTCAATCAACCAATTGAGGTTCCTCAGGTTTCATTTACTTATCTCTTTTTCCAGATCTATCGTTATATACCCACTTGCAAATTTATGTCAACGTAAACTTGTTCAATCGTTTTTTGGCATCTAGAACCTAGTTTATACTTATGTTCAACATGATCAATGCAATCAACTTCACAGATAACTCTCAATTACCTTGTAATCAATTTTAATTCGATTAGTAGAATGTCAATGCTGGTGGGTAATTCTATCACATTGTAGGGATTTTGACTCACGGTTGTCACACAGTTGTGTGGATCTTAGTCTTTAGATGAAGATTAGACAACTATTATTCTAAGAGGTATTTTAGTGGAGATGATTTTGGGAGAATTTAATTTTACTCATAAAATAAAATTCACTGAATGTTTATTTTATGTTGACTTAGAATGGTTGATTTTATGTTTATATTTTAAATTTTGCAAAATCACTTATTAGTAAAATCAATATCAAAATGTTCAAACTTGGGTACATATTTTAGATTGAGTGAGCTTTTTGTGCAAGCAGATATATCTTTGATTATGAACTTTGAAACTTTGCAGTTGGCTGTTCGCAAGTGCCCTGAATGTAGACAGCCATTACCTGAAAGCTATGCACCTCCTGCAGATGAACCTTGGATGACTGGTATTTTTGGATGTATAGAGGACCGAGAAAGTTGTATGTTAACAGTCTCAAATTCTACTTGATTTGCATATTGCAGTGACAGTATACTTACTTTAGTAGAAGTTTGCATCCTTTTATATTCTTTCGTCTTTCATTGCAGGCTTGACTGGACTGTTCTGTCCCTGTGTATTATTTGGACGCAACGTAGAGAGCTTGAAGGACGACACTCCTTGGACAAGGCCATGTATTTGTCATGCTATTTTTGTCGAAGGCGGCATTTCCTTGGCTTTAGCCACTGTCATTGCAACCTCCTTCATTTCTGGCATTGACCCGGGGACAACATGCCTCATTTGTGAGGGTTTATTTTTTACATGGTGGATGTGTGGCATTCACACTGGTCAAGTTCGGCAAACCTTACAGAAGAAATATCACTTAAAGGTACGTGTGCTGTAACTGTAAATTTCTTTCATTAGGAATAGTTGTTGACATTAAAGATGAAATCTGATATCCTCTACTCAGAACTATGCTTCTGCTTGCTTTAGTTTGTCAGTATATAATAAAATTGTCCTGCGTGATCCTGTTCTGCTCCAAACGTATGTTTATGTGGTGACATGACATTTTTTAATATGTTTGGAAAGGAAACAATGATTGGCTTGCTGGTCTGTAGCCTAATCTTAATATGAAATCCTGGAAAATAGATTGGTGTCCTCATTTTCTTTCTTCCAATGCTACAAAACTGGTGCTAACTTTTATGTTGCTTTTCATCTTTGCTCTTATCTGAAGTAATTGTATGGTTATTCCTTCTTGTTTTGATATGAGATTCTTAAACTTCAGAGTTCTGGGCCACTGATGCTGTGGTAGAGGTTTCATTCATAGTTAAGGGTTTGAATCCTAATTCATGTTAACAGAAAAACTTAGTTGGGTGGGGACTGTTTGCCCTGTATGCCTTCAAATTCTTTGGCGGAGATTAGTCATGGTTAAAGAATGGTGAATACTTTGCACCTATCACATGAGTATTAAGAGAAAAAATAAAGTGGCTTAATTCCTCCCAATTTTTAGGTCGAACTTACCAACCTGGGCAATGATTGTAATTTGAATAGAGAATGTCACAAAAGGGTTAAATTCCTCCCTAATACTTATACATGATTTTGTTAACTTTTTCCTCTGATTTTTATACATGAACTTATGATTGCAGAATTCACCTTGTAATGCATGCTGTGTGCACTGCTGCTTGCACTGGTGCGCCCTGTGTCAGGAGCACAGGGAGATGAAGGGAAGGCTCTCCGACAATAGTTTTTCAGAAATGACCATTGTAAACCCTCCTCCCATTCAAGAGATGAAGTCTACTAACGAAAAGGAAAATCCTGAGACATCTTCGGCTAACAACAATGAACACGTTACTTTGGAGATGCAGGCTATATAAACCATTGTTAATACTTAGTGACAGAGAGAGAAAATAATTTTCCTTTAGACCTTTGACTTCACACTCATCATGTTAATACTTAACGATGATTTGGCTTCAGTACTTCATGTTGCATTAGACATGTAAGTCACATTTACACAACTCATGAGTCTGTTTAATGAAACCAAATTATACGGAATCCTCATTATTTAGATTTATTATCTGGCTTCGTACTTTGACCCATCTGTCTATGACTCTATGCTTTATGCTTTGCCATTTGTTATTTTACTGTCAATACTAAAAGTTGAGGTTAGATGCATAAATAATAATAGTAATTATAGTAATAATAAGGTTTAAATAATCAATGGAAGTTAATGTGTATTTATTTGTGTTTGTAATTTTTAAATAAAGTCTTTAAATGTTAAATTTCATTTGGATTTAGTCGATAAAATTTATAGGCGGATTTTAACGATAAAGAATTACTAGTATTTATTTACCTAGACCAATTAATTATTTAAACATAAACATAATAATAATAATAATAATAATAATAATAATAATAATAATAATAATAATAATAATAATAATAATAATAATAATAATAATAATAATAATAATAATAATAATAATAATAATAATAATAATTAGCTTTACTTTATTGTTGTGTTTATTATAGATTAATTGTTAAAAATCACTTTATTAAAAATCACTTTATTTTAGAAAATAACTATGAAGTTTATATATGAAGACATGGACGGATCTAGGTTGTATTAATTGGGGACATTTGCCCCCACTAGTTTATTTATTTTTTATTAAATAATTAACTATTTTAGTTTAATTTTTTTAAAAAATTAAATATTGTTCTCATAAAATTAATTAATTAATTATAATTATAAATAATTAAATAAAAAATAATTTAAAAGATAAATTGTTAAGCTATTATTTGACCACATACACATAAATATATATATGTAATAATATTGAAAATTAAAAAAAAAAACAATTATCATGAATATCTAGCTTAAAGATTAATTTGTTGTTTGAATAACTATTATATATTATTTCATCTATTTCAATTTTTTGATGTAGTACTTGATCTTACCTAATCAGAAGGGATCAATGGTCTGCCACACGTCGTTGAATTGCAGCTTTCACCGAAGTTAGGGAGAAAGAAGGGGGGGTGTACCTGCAAGGCACTCTGATGCCTAAGTGAGTAAAGGATCAGAGTGGGAGAGCAAATGTAGAGAAGTAGGTGTAGAGAATAAGACACCTGACCCTCTAGAGAAAGAGAACATTTATAGAGAGACCCTAGCGCAGGGCCAGCGATTACTTGCATTGGGCCAGACTGTCAGGGCTTACGTGGCGTAGTGAAGACCAGCACGTGGTCTTCGCCGTAGATCAACTGCCCCGTGATCTTTGGAAGGTGGGCTGACCAACTCTTTCGGAGGTGGGTAGTTGTCTGATGACGTGTCCCCGCATGGGGGAGCACGTGGAGAACGTGGGAGAAACGTGTGAGTGTCCACATCAAGGGAGTCGTCTGCTCGACATATATAGCTCGTGCCCGACGTAGGAGGATTGGGCCTCCCCAACATAGTGTTGGGTTGGGCCTACCCGACTGAGGGGCAGGTCCTGACCCAGTTCAAAATAGGAGCCCCCAAGTCGTTACTCCGAGGTGGAGGAGTGATGACTTAAGGACAAACCCACGTCGGGGACAGATAAGGAAGGCGGTCCTATGCCCAAAAGATGGAATCGAGAGCCTTGCTCGTCGGAATATCATGTCGGGGAGGTGAAGGATGATCCGGTTCGCTAGCTTTCTGAGCTCGAGGGAGAACGAAGGGGCATGGTCAGTTACGGTTGCCACGTGTCAAGTGTCCATTGCCCATCCTAGGGCCGCTAGTTATATGGGTGCTTGAGTGCCTATGGGCGCTTCGAGTTCTGTGTTAGGCTTATAAATAGGTTGGGGCCTGCCCCTTTGTTACTTTTCGCTTCTAATTCTTACGAACACACTTCTTTCTTGCTCCTCCACCGTTTACGTCGCCGTGCAACCGTTGCCGTCGTACTGTCCGCCATGAAGTCCGTCGTACCTCTACTCAAACTACTGTATTAAGTAAGTCCATTCTTCCTTTTCTTTTGTTTCTTTATTTTCCAGCAGCTCCTGCGGCGGAAACGATGAGTGTCCCGAGGAGGCTGTGAGTTTTCCGGAGATTACGGCGAGATTCCCTTGACCAAGGGCGAGCCTAGAATGAAGCCCCTGGGGTCAATTGATAGGTTTTGGATGAGTACCCCGGGGACAGATGATGGTGCTGGATGAGTATCCCGAGGATAAATGATAGGGTTTCGGTGAACACTCTGGGGACATATGATATGTATAGGTGAATGTCCCGGGGACGTATGCTAGGTATAAATGAATGTCCTGGGGATGTATGTTAGTAAACCACGCGGGGAAGTGGATGTCGAGGTAGGAGGAACCTAGGTCGTAGATATCACCCCCTTCGCCCTTTCACTTGAGATGTGGTGGAAGGGTGAGTTTGATCTTGAAATGTCGAATTCACCATTTTCCTCTGCTTTTCAAGTGAACATGGCCACGTGGATACCAGGAGTTATAGAATTCAACCAAGAACAAGAGTCTCCGGCGGCCCTGCCCGTCGAGGGGCAGAACTGGGCAGTTGAAGACTTGGTCGGGGATGAGCCATTGAGTACGGCTTCCCGTTTTATCGAGGATGATTCCGATGCGTTTGCCACGATCGAGGATCGCTGTGAGGGTTCCTCTGCGAGTTGGCAAGTGTATAGACCGCGGGCCCACCATCAGATCTATTCGAGCTACGGGAAGATGCGATTTCCCATGTACAAATTTTACTTTCGCGAGGCGGGACTCCGGCTGCCCTTCTCCGACTTTCAAATAGGGGTCTTCGACTGGTTGAGGCTGGCGCCTTCGCGGTTGTGTCGCATCGCTACGAAGAGGGGCCGACAAGGACAGAAGAGTCGCCACCGTTCGTTATTTATCCCAAAGAGAGGGAAAGGAAACAATCATAGAAAAACTACGAAAAAGAGAAAAGACAGATCATCGCAACCAAATCTTGGGTTCAGGAGTCTGTTACGCAAGGGGAAGGTATGAGCACCCCTCACGTCCGTTGTACTCAACGGGATCCACGCTTGTTGTCTATCTAAAAGGGTGTTAATCTATAAAAGGCTGGCTCACAGGGACAAAAGAAAAGAAAAGAGACTCGATAGAGCATCGCCGCTCTATGCCTACGTACTCCCTCGTGCAACGGGAAAGTCAGAGTCAACGTAGTTCGGAAAACTACGGGTGAAGGTGGGGAAGGTTGCTCTCCAAGACATCGCCGTCTTGTGCCTACGTATTCTCATCTGGTATGAGAAATCAGAGCAAACGTAGTTCGGGCTGACACGACCACAAGTTGGTTCAAGTGTTTTAACTGAGTAGGGTTAAATGGTGGTTCCAGCAGTTAGGGACAATGCCTGTTTGCGGTAGAACCAATAGTTAACACACTCTTTCTGAAAATGATTTTCCAAACAATCCTGAAGGATAAAAAGATTTGATGTTTTGTTTTGTGTTTTTTAACAAGAAGTGAATTGAGTTAAGTTTGTAACTCATGTTGCACTAAAGACTATGACTTGAGAGCGAATGTGTCGCATATCGCCCAAAGGGCATACGCTAAACACTCTAGACAGATTGAGAGGAGGCCCTCCAACTATCATTTCTCAAGTACTTAAGGCTCGTAGCGTGTAACCCTTATTATCCCTTATTAGGTGTCTTAAGAGATTATGAGATGAGAAGAGAAAGACACAAACTCTAAGGGGAAACTAATCAACCCTAATGTTGTCATGTAAGATGCTCCTAATGTTGGGATTAAGAGGGGAAGAATCTATCTTAATGTTATCATACAAAGGATTGAACACCTAATGTCTCTCCTATTCCCATCTTAAATAGAGGGACTAGGAATCCTAAGGGATCATTGCAAAAGAACCAAGTAAACAACAGTTAAATCAATCACAGATGAAATGAAAGAAAGAGAAGAAGTTGACTTAAACAAGTCAAGAAGCAATGCAAACATGATATGCAAGACTCACAAGATGCAACACAAATAAATGATTAAGGCAAAATGACATGACCAAGTCAAAGAAAAAGTGAGATGAAATGGGAGAAGTTAGAACTCCTATAACCATTCAAACATCAATCACTTACACCAAAAACTAAACACAAAGCATAATGCAAAGGCTATGATCAAATAGAAGATGGGAGAAAAGAGGCTTGGACAGCAAGCATGAGCAAAGCATCTCAACCAAACAATCCAAATTGATCATATGCAAAAGAAGAACAAACAAGTGCTAAAATTGATCCATCATTCAAGACAAACTCAAAGTATGAACATGAGTACCAAATTGTCTTAAATGATGATCAAAACCCAAGGGACAAAAGTGAAAACATAAGAAGAGAGATCCAAATCAAGATGGAAAGCAAAGCCTAAGTAAGAACCAAGTCAAGGCAAGAGGAAGAAACAAAGTTCAATTCCATGTTCAACACTTAAAATCAAGTGGAATACCCTAACTTCCAAGTAACTTGTAATACAAGTTACACAAGTGTATGACCTAAAAATGCAAGACCAACACCTTAATCATGTCAAGAATGAGTATCAAGACTCATAGGGTGCATATGGGATCCATCAAAGTCATTTCCCAAAGGAACTAGGTCAAACTAGTTTGTATGAACTTCCTCTAAGATGACTTGACTTGCAAGCTTCATAAAAAATATAAGAAATATTCAATAAATTCCAAATAAAATGCACAAAGTAACCAAGCTTAATGGAAAACAGAACCCAAAGTTTCAAAGCCAAACTCAATCTTAGGCATCACCAAATAATTTGATTAACAAGGGTGCTCCACCTTTTTGAGTATTGATCGAGGGGCATCAAAAGTTAAATCAAAGTCAACCCTAAATTGATCAAACATGAACCAAAATCATCCTCAAAGGTACCTCAATCCATACTCTAAATGGAGAAGAA